ATAACAATTAAAATGGTACACTTTTATATTGTACTAGTTTTTGCCCGCGACTTCGTCCGCGTTAGTTTGGTCAAGAGTAATATATGTAGGTATAGCTGACCAGGCGAACTCTATTCCGTCTTAGAGGCCATAAATAATCAGGTTTTTCCTGTTTCAATCAAACAGAATGATTGACATATTAGTTAATTGTCAAATCTAATGTCAAAAAAACTTTTGTATGGGAAATAGAAAAGGGCTGTTTTTAGGGTTTTCCCGGCAATTATTCCAATTTTTCTCACCTTTTAAACCTTCCCTGGACTTCCAGGAGTATTTCAAGACTAAAATTAGCCAAATCGGTTCAGCTGTTCTCAAGTTTTAGCGAGACTAAGGAACAGCAATCCATTTTTATATATATAGAAGATTTATAGTAATACTTATAAAAAAATATTTTCGTAAGGTATGCCCTTGTAATATTGACGAAATTTTATAGACATAGGACCTAACTTAACCATTCGGTAGAGGTACTAGTGGGAAGTAAAATTTAAAACGGGTTGTCTATGCTTCACGCATTCTTGAAACAATGAACCTTCAACTCTGATTATGTTTGAATTATCTATGGTCTAACGTCAGATCAGAATGGACCATATCATCAACATTCTAGGTTAAGTACGAATCTATTCATGACAGTTACACAAATGGCATTAATGGCTGAGCTTTGAATTATATTATCGTCCTAGATAACTGGTACACTTATATATTGCAAATGCCAAGGTAACACAGATCATTTGGTAAAGCCAGACTAGACTGTATTGATATGTTTGATTGATTACCGATGGAAAATTCATGATATGATATTTTTGGCTTGCCAATACACAATGGCGGATATTTAAAGATATTCTTGTTTGTATAGAAATTGTAGAAATCGGGTTTTCTTAGTCATCATGTTTGTATTATCATCACCTGCTGTATCATTTTGAGATATAACTTGTGGTAAAAAAACCTTTTAAATAACATTCATTTCTTCAAAACAAATGTATGCTGTATATTAAAATTGTTGAACAACTTTTGTTTAAATGTTTTTCTTGATATAACTTTAACTTCGTAGAAATGAACTTTGCCAAAAAACGGTAAATTACTTCATAATTTATACGGAACATTTCCTGACAGGTTTCATATAATTTATTCTTGAATTCGTCGTCTTTGTTTCCAAAGAAATAAATGCAGAATCATTTTAGGATCATTCTACACTAGACATTATGAATTACGCTTTCAAGTTTCAGTATGAGGATCAATTCGTTCTAGTGCCTTGTACCTATATTTATTAGTTATTATGATTTGGAACACAATATGAACTAATAAAAGTTATATCTAGGGCTGCCTTGTGTTTGCATTTTTTCCATATGTTTCGCTTTAAATCTATCATTTGTGAATCGTCAATAAACCTATTCCACGAAAGATAATGGCACTTACGTAACCATTGACGTGCGATTTATAAATCATTGTTATCAAAACGTTTGTTTATGCGTTCGACATTACAGTTTGTAAAAAAACGATTATTTACTGAAATATAAAAATAAATAGGAAAGATAATACGACAAATATAGCGTTCATTGATTGCAACGGTGAAATCATTATAATATAATTATTGAATTATTTATAAGTTACTCTGAAGATATGATAGAAAAATGCTCTATATGTTCTGAACTAGAAAGAAATGAAATAATAATTTCATAGTTTTAATATACAGAAATTATTCATTTACTGTTCTTTGCAACATAAACGAACAATTCTCCTAGTTATCTGAAATAGAAGGTATTTAATCAGCAAAGTTAAATGCTAACCCTACGCGCTGATAGCGACTGCCCACTTACTCATTGCACGTGCCCCAAATGTGCGTCACAGCATTACTAAATTTCTTGCTACACACCGACGGCTGTATCAATTTTATATTGTATAGATAAAATTTGTTTTTAACATCACTATCAGTACATATCGGACTTATTTTATTTCATGATATGCTGGCGTCGCTGTAAGTGGCACCGGCGCCTTAACCGTCATACATTATAACAGATTACTCATACGTTACGTACATCCTAGGAACTTAATAATGACTAGCAATTATACTGTACACTCAACCGTTTTAGGTCATGTTTGTTTGTATTACGATAAAATCTTTATATATTGTGTGATATGAGCCAAAAAAATACTAAGTTAAAATTTTATTGACTTAAAAAAAAGAACTTTTAGAATGAAAAATTAATCAGTGTAAGGTACCAATCGCTTTACTTATTAAACAACAGTCTATACTATTAGTGGTGATGCAACTTTGTTTTAATGTTGATATAGTTCTAAGAAATATATTTATAGACCTCTGCAGTCGCAGGTATACGAGGGTAAAACTCAATTAAGACAAAATTGCACTAACAACACGGTAAAGGTTATAAGTTAATCGTTCCGTTGTTTTGTTAAGGTAAATATTATTTAATCGTTAGCAACATAATAAAAATAAATTCTGCAACAATAATAATAAATAAAAAAATACCTAATGACGTGGTTACGAACCGGCGACCTTATGTACAACCTTCACAATCAGCGGAAACACGTATCTAAATAATACGTTATAATAGGTGCCTAGAAGCCTCCGGTTGGCTATATCACGGCACGTTAACGGCAATGCATCACAACCTAGACCTATACGACCTACTTACACAAGAAATAGGTTCGCATTAAATAACAAACAAGTCTAAATTATTATTCATATTAAAAAAATCTAATTTATTTATTAATGGTATACATAGTATTATAAATTCCTACACACGATACATAATTGTCACAATGTTATATTATATTAACATAATTGCCTGGTTCTTTATTATATTTTAATTCAATGTCTTGTTGCTAGTCGAATTATATTCCTTACAGGTATATAACATAATTATAAACAGTGTAAATGTAAAGGAATTTTTTAATGAATATTTATTAAATACTAGCTTTCCGCCCGCAGCTTTGCCCGCGTGGAGTTCGATTATATCGCGTTTCCAAGAGAACTTTATAAGTCTGGGATAAAAACTATCCTATGTTCTTTTTCGAGGTCAACTCTATCTCTTTACCAAATTTCATTAAAATCAATTCAGTGGTTTAGGCGTGAAAGCATAACAAACAGACAGACAGACAGAGTTACTTTCGCATTTATAATATTAGTAGGTACTCGAATGATTAATTCTTAAATAAAATTCCTATCTATTGCGATACTATACAAAAATTATTATGTACACATAAATATTACGTACGTCATAGAAATTTTCTTATTACATTAAAGCTACGATAAGGATCTGACGTGAAGCGTTTGTTTAATTTTCATCTCCGCATGTATGAGAACAAACACTCCTTAAATGTGATTGCGTCCACAATACATATTACATAGTTCAGTCTATTTACGATTATGACTCACTTGTATACAAACAATGCGACAAGAATTGTTATCAAACTGGGAATACCCTGTACATCACTTTGAACTCTTGGGCTACTTAAAACTACCCTCCATGAAATTTATTGAGTACTAACATAAATTGTTCATATACATTTTAGTAAATTGTATAAGGACAATAATATATCAGTTAAAAGCTTATCCGATACAAAAAAATGAACAATTTTATGTAACAAAATTTTCCGTTTCATTAGTGCAGTAAATTTTCCTTTTTGATATCTTTATAAAGATGTGTATTAAATTCATTATTCATAATAATTATGGCAAAGGAAATTTTTGTTTCGTCAAAATTTTATAAAAAAAATGCAACTTTAATATCATTACTCAGATTAAGATGGTAAAAAATATATTTCTTCCTTTTTTTATACTAAAATAGATTGTGTATAAATTTAATTTCCATTGTTTTTTGTAGCTAAAAAAAATTTGAATTCGTAAAATACTTCCCTAAACAATCATAATTTAGCTTGTGACGTCAATAAGAGGTAGATTTTTTATTGTAGACTATTGATGAAAAAAAAAATACAACTTCAATCTTAAAAAGAAAACTTAAACTTTTATTATTATTCAAAAAGTACAAAATATATTGTACATTATAGTCCCAAAGTGTGTATGTATTGGTTTTGTTTTAAATTTAAGCCAATCTTTGAACAGTATTATTTGTATACATATAACATTCACACAATAATCATCTAAATTTAACAACATACAAATGTAGTATCTTTCAGTATCACTGTATAACAAACTCCAAGTACTTGAATATATTTTTAAATACATTCCACGTTATATGTTTACAAATACGATAACAGTGATTGTACAGCTTCCTAAATCCCCGTCTCAAAGGTTGCAGCCAACCACGCATCATATAATGCGGCGTTACCTTATTACAGCACACAATAGCATAAATATGGAAAGAAACTGCGCAATAAGTTGTCACAGCGTCACGAGGTTATACGAGCTGAGCATCTGTACGGATTCAGTTACAAACTATTCATGTTGGATCATAAACATACAAATTAACTCGCAACTCTCTGAAAAGATTCAATTAAACAAGTAATTTCTAAAACTAAATGAATTGTAATTCGATTGCAATTTTTATAAAGCATTTTTAATGAAATTACATTTGCAATTCACGTAATATTGATAACGTACGAGCTCCGTCCTTGTCCTTGCCCTTTTACAAGGAAATCCGTACAGAAATAAAAACAATATAAACTTATTATATTATATGTAGCAAGAAAAGATATTGCGGTTAAAAGAATTCTTATGGGCCAATTAAGTTAAACTAAATATTCGTTTCATATTTTTTTTATTACAATGAAAATTAAACAACACTTTAAACGGAAAGTGCCATGTTTGTATGTCATATAAAAAAATCCCCGTTAAAAACAACCCATCACAGTTATCTATGAATAATTATCATAAAAAACAAATAAAAAAAAAATATTGAGATCACGTGAACCGCAAGCGAGGACAGATAATAAGATGCAAACAAATTATAGTAGGCGTTCATTAATGCCGTCCTTTCAAAACTGGGCTGAGGGTAGATACAAAAACTCTATTATATAGGGAACAATCGGTCGGGGTGGCTGTGGTGACGGGGCCGGGTCGGGCAGGCGGGTCTGAAGGGGGTGTGGGAGGGTGTACTATCGACGAGACGGGAGCTACGTCATTTACGGCGCCACGTGGGCGATCAATAGTGACGTCGTCTACTCCGAGGGCTGAGTACGGAGAGGGAGGGGGAGGGACATTGCGCGCGCACTCGCCGACCTATTTACGATTACGTTTCACAGTTTCACGTAGCGTTCTACGTAAGTCGATCGATCACGGCCAGGTCCTGGGGAGGCTCCGCGCATGCCCCGACACACAAGCAACCAGACGTCGCACTGTAGCGTGCCCCACATACAGCGTTCATTCATTGCACAATATTGCATAATGTCATAAATTTATATTTAGTTCAATTTTTATTATCATACAATCGATTTAAACGTATTAAATATACTGAAAAAATTTGACAAGATTTTCCGCTGAAACTTTCATAGAAAATTATGTATATTATGAATTATAATCATATATATAAATTCCTTACATAACGTACGTCAGATAGAAAACAATAATCAAGGTCTAGATAAAATATAACGATAATTATGATACGATACACCGCGGCTGGAATGATTCGTTAAATGAGTGAAGTAAATTTATTACGGCAATCAAACACGAGTAGCCGTGGCCTAGTTGTAAGCCCGCACCCTCGCTGCCTCAACATGACAGCCTACTACCAGACGAATGAGACACATGATAGCGTCATATATATACAAACATACATATAATACATTATCATACATATATCATATATATTGCATATAAAAAGAATTTTTTTCGTATTGGAAATACATAGAAATTACGTAACTGATATAAATAGATGTAATCCAAGATAATAAAGTTAAGAAAACATTTCATAATTTCTGTGTTTTTAAATTATTTTATTTTATATAAAATTTATATTCTCTATCGGTAATACAAAAACATAAAATTTTGACTTAAAGTTCCATTTTGCATCTAATATTATATTTCTTTTACAATATAGTTAGTTATAAAAATAGTACGGTTTTATTTAGTAAATCCATTAAACAATTATATATCCGTAGGTGCAGAGTACATACTGCATAGCACAGATTATGAAATACTGCAGAGGCGGAGTTATTTGCATAATTTTCTATTGCAACCTCATTTAAATGGAAAAAAACTATTTACAGATATTACTTTGATAATTACCAACGTATTTATATATAATATTATATATATATTAAATGTATTGTGAGATTTATTTCAATATAATAGCTGGCAAGTGCATGTACTGCATTGGCATAAAGTGTATGCGTGCGCAGTTTTGTTAAGACAGTGTGGAATCAATACGGACCCAAACAAACGAGCGACCGACGTGGGCAAGTGACCTACTTCAAACCAGGCCAACGGTTACGTCGCTATATATTTTATAACAATTTTAAAACGTTTTGTTTTCATAAACAAATAATAAATACACCATCTACAATGAAAAATCTATAATAATATTAATTTTATATAAAGATTACGTAAATATATTTAACATAACATATTCTATGAAAATAAATATACGGTCAGATGCTCAAGAATTTGTTGTTCTTTGCAAATGAGGAACTGCTAATTATGCGGTTTTGTATTGCATTCGCAATGGGTTTTCCAGTACCGTTTAGAGTTAACAGGAAAATATATTTTATTATTCAGGAGCTACGCGTTTATAATTATTCATGAGACGGACTTATTAAGTGATTTATTGTAATAACATCCGTTGCTAGGCTATGGGGAGCAAGTAGGTGGTGTAGTATTGTTTGTTAAGTTCTGTCATTAGCAACTAATTCGGGGAACCCAAACAAACCATAACCATCGACCTACATACCGACGACGTCTGAGGGCTGGCGCTGACGAGTCACCCGCATCTGATGAGTGAATCATCGCTTACGAACTCATATATATATAAAGAAATAAACATACATAGCTCAAGTATATTAATAACAATATTATTACTAACAAATATACTAGCTGCGCCCCGCGGTGATACCTGGATTTCCGGAATGTAAAGTAGCCTATGTGTTATTCCTGGACATCAGCTTCATGTATACAAAATTTAATCAAAATCGCTTCAGCCGTTTGATCGTGAAGAAGTAACAAACATACACATACTCAAAAACTTTCGCAATTATAATATTAGTAGGATAGTATAAGTGACATTGATAAAAAGTCTAACCATCTAATACGATTACTGGTTACATGATAAAATCAATATCAAAACATTCCTCGTTACAAAATAGTATGACAATCAAGATGAGCAAAACTAAAATACATTAAACCGTTTTATAAACAATTTAAAAGCGGCACAGTCTATTTCTATTCTGACCTAGATCTTAAACGCAGCAGTGCAACGTCGACTATGTAACATATCTCCCCACCCACAGATACCTTTCGACGAATTACAACTGAACGTGAGATTTAAAATGGCCATTGTTAAACCTAAATTTTAACACAATAACGCAGTCAAAGTACAATCGAGTTGTTATCACATTGTAAACAACTTAAAGAGGATAATGGGTTTGAAGATTGCGTAAATAATGACAAGTTACTGTGACTAACGATGTTTCTCTCGTCTTCAAACTGTCGTAAGGAAGAGGTAATTTCCCAAATACAATGGCTGAATAACAAACGTGTACAAAATCCAGAAACATCTAGAATTTTTTTACGTTACACAACCGCGACCTCAACGAATTCATGAGCACATCAACAATGCTAGCATAAGCTACACGGATAGCTCGAGCGAATACACGATGAAAAATGCAATGCGACCTTAGCCCACTTGCTAATACAAAATGTTTATACTATTACATAGCGTTTGAGAACGATGATTTCATGTCCAGTATACATTTTGCGATACATTGAACATTATATATATGAATAATTTTATAATATCATAGATATGAATCGATGAACTACAAACGTGTAAATCCATGAAGTTATTCGCTCTCACCGTGGATACGTAGGAACGTTCAACTGCTGGGTGAAACAGAGCCGGCGAATGAGAACGCGGTCTTGTGACATGATTTCAAAACATTTAGTGTAAAATTGACACAAGTTACTGCGGATTGTTCATACTTAGTTCATATAGTAAATTCGTGTAAAGCTTCATATATATTATAAACGTTTTTATTAAGACAGTATCGATAATTTACTTATTTAAATAATAACACTAGCACTTTAACGTTTCTCTTTATGAATTTTATGAATAAAAAATGTGACCTATTTGTATTCAGATTAATGAAAAAGTCGTAGTAAAACATTCACTGGATGCAAAACTGAGAGTCGTGTTGTAATCCACGTGAATGATAGCTCAGAACCTTCTGAAGACACGACCTTGACGTACCTTTAAAAATCAGCACCAAATATGCACCAGTACCGAGTAACAAAGAACTCACCGCAATAAAAAACAAAAAGAAAAACATTACGCTTTGTTATTCATGTTTTACGAATGAATTGAATCTTCAAAATATACCAGTTCGGTTATTAATGAATTGAAGAACAAAAAAATATATATTTCATTCACTATTACGTAAATAATATTTAAATCGTTTCATTCCTTGTTTGTATATAAAGTTCAAGGTGGCCCCGTCTAGGCTTGTAAGCCTTAATGCAATAAACATTTCATGGATCCAGAAAAGATTGAAAAAATGACATACTTAAAATACTTATAATTTGGGCCTTAAAATATATTAAAAGATTTTTCTTAGATAGGGAACATTCTCTCGAGATACTTATAATATCATTTTAATAATACATATTTTGTTGCTAAAACGCCTCGTCTTTAGAGACTAAAAGTACCGGCTTACAGTCATAAAACGAAAAACCTATATTGTATTTCTGTGACTACGATTTTTGAAATGCTAACCTTCTAAATAAAATACATTCCATTCACTAGAACAACTACGGTTTGAAATATTTGTGTAATAAAAGAAATCTGTTATTATTTGAGAAATATATGGATTAATTCGTAAAAAGTAGACCATGGTCCAAGTTGAAGCTGAGATTTCTATTTATCTTTTCCTTCATCCTTTCTCAATAAAATGTATACGGAATTAAACAATATTCTATTACTATATAATATATATTATTTTAATAGTGGTGACCTAGTGGTTAAATGCTCGCCTCCCATGCATGAGGGCGCGGGTTCGAAACCTAGCAAGTACTAATGTGATTTTTTTGAGTCATATTTAGTTTCTAAGAGTATTTAGACACCACTGACAGAAGGTGACAGAAAACATCTTGAGGAAGCCTGGACTTTTAATTTCCAATTATAAGTTTGAAATCGCCAAACCGTCTTGAGCAAGCGTGGTGATTAATGTTCAAATCTTCTCCATTTGAGAAGAGGGCTTTGCTCAGCAGTGGGCTGTGATAAGCTGATGATGATATACATATACACATTTGAACATTGACAAATGACTGACTGAAATGACAAAATTTGAGAACTCTATAGAATATAGGTCAATTAATAACTATTAATAGTATTTCAATCTGCTATTTCCGAGATATAGCATGCTTGATGAGTTACGTACTATCGTACCTTTTGTCGTTGAGTACAAAGGTTTTGAATGAACATCCTATATATAATAGACCCTTTATAATTACATAACTTTGCATCTCTTTTCACCTACAAACTATGAAATCTCATACAAAAAAAATATTTCTATCAACATGACAGAGCCAATACAAATTACGGATAGAAAATATCATAATATTAAATTTAATTATTCCAATATAAAATATATAAAGAAGAAACGTATGTACAAAATATGACAAAAATTTAAGTTAAGTCACCTTCATTTATTAAGAAATTGTGTCAACGAAAAAAAAATAAACAGGTTATAAAAAGAAATTGTAAGAATCAAACACGTAACACTATCCGCAGTGTATGAATGTATGAAGCAAGGCAAACGTCAAAATACATTGCGCAACTACCGCTGAATGTCGCTCGATGTAGATAGAGGCAATATTACTAATTAATATGTTTACACTTATAAATAATAATAAAAATAACAATTAGACTATCGTAAAATATGATTATTTTATTCAGATTGATTCAAAATACTCTTTTATCATTAGTAACACAGAAAGTATAAAAATAGGATAAATTTTACATAAGCAAACAATATCCAAGATAATTAATTGCATTCTATTTTTAGTAAACATATAACTGAATAAATCGTAAACAAATGCAAATTAGAATATTTTAAAAATAGCATTTAGTGACCGTTAGAAACATAACTTGAATATATAAATAACATTATTATAGCCATAGTTATATTTAAAAAGAATCAAATATCTTTAATATATTTTCTTATATTTTTTTCAACA